AAAGAAGTCATTGAGGACCTCAGCCTTCTCAATATCCCGTGTTTCTACCTCGCCCATTTCCTTCAGGAGAGGGCCTACATTCTCCTTGGATGTCCTTTTCTCCCCAACACACCTAAAGAAGCTTTTCTTATTGTTCTTAACATCCCTGGCAAGATTTAATTCTAGCAGGGATTTGGCCCTCCTCACCTGATCCCTAGCTGCTTGGACAACCTCTCTGTAATCCTCCCAGGGTACCTGCCTTAGCTTCCACCCCCTGTATGCTTCCTTCTTCAGTTTGAGCTTTTCTAGGAGCTGCTTACTCATCCATGCTGGCCTCCTGGAGTTTCTACGTGACTTCCTTTTAGTTGGGATGCAATGCTCTTGGGCCTGGAGAAGGTGATCCTTAAATATCAGCGACCTTTCATGGGTCCCTCTACCCTCCAGGATGTTACCCCAAGACACTCGCTTGAGCAGATGCCTATAGTAACTAGCCCAAAGGGTCCTGGATGTTTGTTCTTGTTTTATCTCTTCTCCCTCCTGAAAACAAGATTCCCCTGTCCTCTTATCTTTTCATACATACCCTTTATCCACAACTATTAAGCTAATTGAGTCTATAATGAAATGTATTATTTCACCAGAGACTTTACTGACTTGCATCTGACCTGATAAATGGTGTGACTGTAAGGCTTTGTCCTGCTGCCTTCACCATATTTACCTCATAAACCTATTTTCATTGTTGGTACAAACGATCAAAAAATAAGCATGGTGAAATGTAAAACATTTTTTTACTACTTTGCAGCTTTCCTTTGACATTTCAGAAATGTCCAGCCAATTGCAGAAGAGGTCAAGATGTATGTCCTCAGTTTTATGGCATGAAAATATCTGCCTGCTTTTTGCCAAAATAAGGAAATTATTTAATACATTTTACAGTTTTCACAGATCCATGGTTTCCAGTTTTACCAATTTCACAGATCAGTTACTGAAGTCAATTTTGGCCTATCAGCCCCTTAACAGAAGGCATGATTTGACTCTTTGACTTAAATAAAACATACCAGATTTTCATAATCTCTCTTCAGAGGGAAGAGAGTCTGTAAATCTTTCACAAACCAGCACTAGTAGAAAAGGAAACAACCACTCATTAAGATAAATTTAAATATTTCTAGAATGAAATTTTGATGGAGGAAAAAAAAACAACAGTGGAAGGAACCAGTATTACTTAGTCTGTAATGCTCAGCTGTCCTACTGAAAGTGTCAATGGCAACTTTAATACCACCTAAAAGGCCTAAAATAGCCATTCAAAAAATCCACTATGGTTGTTTCCCTCTTCATCTTCGAAGTAAAAGCAGCAAACTGAAGAAGGCAGACCCCACCAGGGCTGCACAGGCACAGACCTCACAGGAACAGGAGTTACAGATCTCCCTGTTCCTGGGACTGACACCAGCACTACACGGAGCACAGCACAGACAGACGCAGACCAAGAACGCAACCCAGGGCTGCTGGTTTTAATCTTAAAGATTACTAATTTGTAGAGTCACACGTTAGCTATTTTCTTCAAGTTTACTGACGCAGAAACTAACTCAGCACAACTCAGGTGAGCCAGTTCCTCACAGCTTCTCCTTGTGGAAAGCGCTGATAAACCCGAGCCGTGAGATAGCCTGAGAGCCCCGAAGGCTCCATCACACCCAATACCTCCCGATAGCTTTATTTCATAATCTGGGAAAACAGCAACTAGAAGCTGATACTAGAAAGAGAAATCTGATACTAGTGCTTGTGATTTATGCAATGTTCTAGCTATTGCAGGTTTCACTTCTTCTAGTTGGAGAGACGATGTGCAGTTCAAGCTCGCCCTCCAGTGGACTCCATGGCCACACCAGTACATGAAGTTCTGAGGACACTGGTGAGAAGTATTGAGAAGCTAGATGATAGCATACTTGAAAAAACAAGGAGTCACTTGAAGAGAATTCAATGCAAATGTTACCACCTCTAATATTTTGTTTCCATTTTTAATTAAGTTTAAAAGAAATATACCATCCAACCAAAAAAGCTGTACATCCTGTCAAACTACTGCATTGCTTTTATTCCTCTGTTCCAATGATTGTGAATATCTCAGTGGCTATGCATATACAGTAAGTGAAGAAAAAAAAAGAGTTCTCCAACACATCCTGCTTAGGTAAACAATTGTCAGCAAGATCAGCCTGCCTAAAAAAAAAAAAAAGTCCAGATTATGCAATGCTGAGTTTCTGTGATCTTTTCTCAGAAAGTTTCCTACTGAAACTTGCTCACCCTTGCGTGCATAGCTGTCATACTTCATTTATACTTATCCAAAACTGCACACTAATTACTGTGGGTCATATGTGAATAATTAACTTCTTCTGCCTGAAGCAAAAGTAAAGACCAAGATAAAAAATGTAAAATGAGATGAACACATAGAGTATGCTCAAGGCCAATGCTAGGTGTAAGGCTGAATATATCAACTTTTTTACCTAGACCTGAGAAATATTCAGAAAAATACATCTAATTTTCACAGCACAACACAGATTTTCTCACTGGATCTGTTGGCTAACTGCAAAGATCACCTTTTCTCTAGACTACACTTCTTACATTGCAGCAGGTAGGAAGACATGACAATATGGAACAGTTAACAGCTGACCATTTAATGAGGGTTTTTTATTTGATGTTATTTTTCTTTTCTCCCTGAAGGAATAATCAACATCCAACGTGACTGCAAAGTATGCAGCTGCCTTTTGGGGTGGTGATTCATTTCAGCCAGCTAACAGGTAGGTATCTGGGCTTCCTCTGTATCCCACAATGAAAGAGAAACACCTTTGCAAACCACCCAAGTCTACCTGAAGAGGGAATAACGTGCCCCAGAGGTGCCAATCCCTCTTCTCTGACTACCCAGAGATCCCAGACAGATAGCAGAGCCTAGACATTCAGCTGCCAGGGAACCAAGGCTGAGGAGATGGATCCAACGATTACAGCAGGTACAGAAACCCTGTTCATGCTGCTGTAGAGATACAGCTGCAAAAGCTGCAATTAGCAACACCATTACAAGCTTTCAGTACCTAGTTCTGAGCACCCTCAGTGGTAGAGAATAACACTGATATAGGTGCATTACCCACAACCCCTGCTCTGCCATGAGCTCACTAACGAACTACAGACTCATGATAAATATGATTCTCAGTGATCTAAAATGTTATGACAGAGAAGAGCCTCCTGTATTTCTGGGCTAACCCAAGTGTGAAATTTCTGAGGTTGTTCACATCTAGTTTTGTCACTCAGCTCCCTACATGGTGCTTGCTTATACTCCTGGGCTGGTCACCAGTCTTGCAGGCTAGAAAGAGTGATATCCCTGTGGCACAAGCACCTAAGGAGTACGTTTGGTTCAAACCAAAAAGTCTATGGGTTTCATGCCTCTGGTGGGCTCTCTGCCTTCTAATCTGCTACAGCCATATCATTCTCAAAAGGGTGATTCAGGAAAGAATAGAGGAACAACTCAGACATCAGGGCAGGAGAAGGAAAGGGTCAGAGTAGGGTTATACTGAGAAAAGTAGAATACAAATGACACAGTACAAGGTGAAAGGGTAAAGTTATATAAAATACATTGGGATTGTAGGGATGAAAGACCACATTGAAGATGGGAAAGAATTGGGAAGAGCAAAAAAGAATTAAGGTAAGATACAATAAATTAAGAGAGGAGTCACAAGCATTAATGGGGAGATACGAAGAAACCAAAATAATTGGCCTGGAGGGAAATCTCATGGAATTCCCAGATCACCAGAACATTTCTGCTGTTTAAGGAAGGGACTCTTACCTTACAGGAATTGATTTAGTAGGGGGTATTAGAATGGAGCCTTGTTCAGTATTCCTTCTCAACAAAAGTCCTACCAACCAAAAGACATATCGGAAAGAGAGATGGAGATGTGGCCTCACTTGAAATGGAGGAGGCATCACTTAAGTTTTTAAAATATTATCTCTTACTTTTTAGAGTACATCACACATGGGAAGCACCAGCAGATTCTCAGCAAAGAACAACATTGTGCTACATGCTGGGTAAATGCCATCTTTTCTCCAAGGAGTTACAAGAACACTAAAGTACATTAAGAGCAGAGGGATCAATACATTTAATTTAAGCAAATCAGCAGTAATGAACAGCACTGAAACTCAGAGCATTCTGTCCACTGCCTTCCTAGCGATCTCCTTTTCAATTGCTCTTGATGACTTCAAATTGCTGCTCCTGAGTTTATCCACAATAAAATTACAACAATTACACATCACTGCTTCAGCTACTCTTACATGCCTGTCATGTAGACTAGTAATAGCCTGTGAAGTTAGTAAGGACAAAAGGTATTGATTAAATTTTACCATCACTGAATGAGATCCAGCTCAACAAGGCATCTCTTGAATCTCTGTTGAAGGGATCTGACGAAACCTATTCTCACAAAGTGACTGATTTCTCTCTGCAGTATGTGGTACGTACCTCAGAAAGCCTCAAAAAAAATCCCTACTGAGCTCTTGAGTTTACACTTGAGTTGAACTGAAGGCCTTCAGTTGCACTTAACATTCAAATGCTACATCTGTAAAAGTAAGAAGTAGCTCAACAGCAGCAGGTCTCTAGAGTGAGAAAAATGCTGCTGAAGATCGACTATATGCTCTTCTTGAAGGTTCTCTTTGGACTAGCTCTTGTTGGTCCCAAGCAATGACCATCCACTGTTTGCTGAAGCACAGTATGTGTCTCCCTGGAGGCCACTTCTCTGTTTATTTCCAAGTGAAAGGAGCCTGGTTTGTGCTGAAACCACTCTTGTGTTGCAAAGCAGGGATGACAGGGAAGTCCAATTCAGAAGAATGCTCTCGATCTGCACCAGAAGGCCAATGCTGATGCACTTGCTGACATCTGTGTTATTATTTAGGTACAGGCTTTGGGTTTTTACCACAGAATCGTGAGTTCAACACATCCTACATGAGGCAGAAAAGGAACCTGCTTAACTTAACCGTGGTACACAGTGCTGGAGAAGACTTACCTGTGTGTGTTCTCCGGTGAGCCTTCAAGTGGGAACTTTTTGTGTATACTTTGTTGCATCCCTCGAAGTCACACCTGTGGATGCGCCGCTTCCTGGAGTCTGGAGACTCAGACCTTCTCTGACGCCTTGTGCTCTCAATACTGAACGGTGAAATTGAACTAAAAAAAACCAAAACAGAACAGAAGGAAAAAATTAAGCCAGAGCATGGCGTATATCCTGATCAGCTGTAATATATCACTGTGACAGAAATGACCTTGACAATTAATTAAATATTTCCTCTTCTACAACACAGTCCACAGCACATATTTGAAACCATTTGTGCTTGAACTAGAGTGTATTTTGCAGTATGAAATAATTCAAGTCCTGGTTTAGAAGTTTAGAAGTTCTCTGCTGCCAGAGAAAACACCACAATCCTTGAAATATTACTCCAATAATGAAGTAGTCCGACTTTATCTGAGTGTTATTTCTATTCTGCATGTGTCCAGATCCAAGCTCACTGAACACTGCTTTCTTAACAACTTTATATATAGCCTCCATAATTTATCTCTCACAAGTTTAAATAGATAAAAATCCTGAACCTTTTATGAAAAAGTGTTCCCAGCACCCAGATCTGCCCTATGGATCCTTGCATTTGGCTGAACACCTGTTGTTTGCTTGCATACAGATTGCTAAGAGATCCCTATCACCCGGCAGCAGGGATTTTTCCATTTACTTATTTTACAATTCTCAGTGCATCACCCACAAGTCAATGAATTCCATTTCCTTCCAGACCACTGATAAACAGGAAAGTTTATTAGCACAGGGTCATCAACTGATCCCCACAGAAATGCCTGTTCTCAGCGAAGATACTTTATTTACAGCAAGGTCCTTACGCCAGTTATCCCAAATTTTAAGCAATTAAAAATATAATGTTGGAGCTATGTTGCTTGAGATTCTAAATGCAGTGTGTAAGGAGTCAAATACTTGAATTAAGCCTGCTATAACAATGCACTTGGTTAGATAAACTTATTTCATGAACTCTTATCAAGCTTGGACGCCAAGATCCAAACACCAAAGCCTCCTCAAATTCCATTAATTCTATTACTTAGCTATAAATCATTAATAATTGATTGCCTTATCAATGCTGTTACGGTTATGCTGCACAGCAATCACCTTCACTGACAGTTATATGAGCCTGTTTAGCTACTTGAAGAACTGGAACAATGTTGGCCTTCATCAAGTTCCTAGGGCTTCCCTCACATTCTTGGGTTTATTGACATTCAAAGGAAATGACAGAGAGATTTGCCAGCAAGATCTTTTAGACTCTTAAGGTGCAAATTCCCAGTTCTTCTGAAAAAAATTGTGACCGTCAAATGAAAATGAATTGGCAGAAAAGAAAGTGAACGTGATGAGAAGAAGCAGTAAGCACAAATCTTTAGGGAAGCTAAGATGCCGAGAAAGGCATTTGAAAGAAGCACTGATGTTGATGCACCTTGTGAGAAGCTCCTATCTTCAACCTTCTGTTACAGCAGTCAGTGCTGTTACAGCTGTAACTGCTCTGCTATAAATTCCACTTATCGGGATTTCCGTTAAGGACTACTTATATTGGGCTAAAACTTTGCATAAAGCATCTCACACTATTAGCATGTGATTTCTCTGATGTTTTAGTTCTCTGCATTATAAATCATTAAGCCTTCAAGCCCAAATTACACCTTTTTTTTTTTTTTAAAGTGTTTTTACAGTATAACACTAATTTAAACCACTATTTAAACAAAAAAACCCCACCAAAACCAAGAGTACTTTCCTTTTGACAGCCCTCTTTTAACACTTGATATAAATTCATATTTCAGCTTCAGGCAAAGAGATTTTCCAGATTAATTGTTTTTTGCTTATAATATGACGTGTGTAAATGGGCACGTGAGGAGTTTCTGACATGGAGGAAGAAAGGGACGGGGGGAAGCATAATATGAACATTAACTAGCAAAAAGTAGTCTTTGAGAGAGTAGGACACATCAGCACTTTAACTAAGTGACAAGAACACAGATGTGTTCAGCTGTCACAGAAATGGCTTAGGAATTCCATTTAAGAATCTGCATTTCAGGGCAAATAAAAGCCTTGGGTTAGATGATTCACTGACAGCAGTCTCAGTACTCCAGTCGGGTTGGTTTTTTTTTAAAAAAAAACATTCCACCAGCTAAAATAAAAAGCAAACATGTAAATCAAATCTTAAAGCTCAATACTGAAGGTACAAAATCCAGTGCTCAAGACAAGCAAAATCTTTATCTTTCAAGATAAATATTTGTGCACCATTTTTGCTGTATGTGATTTACGAGCCGTCTTAAAAACCTATTTTGTAACAGCATGTTCAGATCCTGGATAGTACATCTCTTTTAAATGGGAGGAGGATCAAGCTTATAATGCTGCTGCAATTTCCAGGTCTGAGATAAAATGAACTTTGAGCAGAGTCAGCATCTTGTAAAAAGCTATTTGTCACGTACAACAAAGTGACCTCACTGCTGGGAACTGCTCTGTGCTTTCCTGGGTATTTATATAGGTGAAGGTGGCATAAAGCAGTGCTGTGAAGGTGGCACATGATCAATCCTGCTGCTTCTTAGCCAGATTGCTGCTTCTTTCTTAAAGGCACATACCCCACAGGAGGTGCCATGCATTGCCACTGTCCCCTGCAAGGTTCACAGCCATTGCTTGCTCAGCACTCTGAGGAGAAAGGTTACCACCAGCTGGAACCAGCAAATGTGACCTCACGCCTTCCCTCTGCAGCAGGGCAGGTTAAATGATGAACCAGCCAGCAGAAGGGACTCATGAGAAGTGAGAGCAGACCTCCCAGGTGGTCTGCCACTCTAACCCCCCGGCGCAGCAGGACCCCATGGTGCAGACACGCTCGCTGGCGGAAAAGCAGACAGATCCTAACCAGTGGCACGAGCCTTGTTTTAGCCTTACAAAAGCTGTGTGATGGTAAATGGAGATATCACAGGAAGCCCAAAAAAGAGCACATGCTGCTTTTTTGAGCTTCTTGAGATTAGTCCCTTTCACAGAAACTGTCAGTTGATTTGCTGATGTTCTTTCCCTTTGGTGTGCAGCACTAAAGGGATGCATTCCTTTTTCTCAACCAGTTTCTACAAAATACCCTCTATGACCACACAGAGACACACACAAAAAAATCCTCAAAACCACGTTTTGTGCCTTTGAAAGGCAATGGGGGCTCTGCCGGGTGGCTCTAGTCAGCACAAGACTCCAGAAACTACTGTTTGATGGCATCATGGTGGAAAAAGACTTTGAGAGTGGATTTGTCAGAGCTCAGTATTTATTTTTTACTGATTGATTTTCTTTTTGCTCACAGTGTGTTTTAAAATAAATTAAAATAAATTTTAAAACACACTGACATATATATATATATAATTTTGTAGCAGCCTTTTTTGACTCTGGGTGTCCACTGAAAACTGCCCCGAGTGAAGACCTGAAAGCAGATCAGCATCTGAGAGCTGCCAGAGTGCCCCGCAGAGGACCTGCCAGTTCTGTCAACAGACAAGATCTCAGGCAGCCTTTAAGGCTCAAGGTAGGTTTAGCAATAGGACTGACACCATACATCATAGACTAACAAAACAGCAAGATGTACCAAATTACTGCTGATACACCAAGTTTGAAAGATAAATTAACAAAGAAGAAAACTTTAGTTCTGAACTGTCAGCTTGACAATTTTTTATTTGCAGTTTGCTATTTCTATAAACAGTGTAATTTCTATATTAGTGTAGAAAGTATTACATCAACAGAAATCCTTTGGCACTCCTGGTTGCCTCCATAAGCAGCTGCAACACCTGTAGTCAGTACTGTTCATAGGGTGAAATGAACCAAATCAGTGTGAGCATTTAGGGTGATTCACAAAACTTCAGCTGTGTTATTTCCAGCTAGAAGTGAAAACATAAATCTCTGCCAATTACACATATCCAAGTACTTCTCTCTCTGATGCAAAAAAAGAAGTCTGCAAAGTGTAACAATGATGGGGGCTTCACCAGCAGATGGCCATCAAGTTCTGAACATGATCTGCACTACATGCAACAGGAATTATAAAAACTCTGATAACTCAGGGTTATTTTTCCTCACTACAAATGCTGGGAGGGGAGAGGATGGCAGGGGGGGTGGGCCTGGTATATTTATGAAAACTTTGAACTGAGTTTAGTGCTGCAGCACACCAACAGTGTGCCACCTGGTGACAAGTCGCTGCACAGTGGCTGCTCCCCACCAACAGCCTGCTCACACGCTCTCACCCCAGGGCAAACATGCAGTGTTAACTTCAGTCACCAATTCAGGAGCTTCCTGGCCCTGCCAGCTTCTCAGCGAGGTGGGCAAGAGCTGCCTGACAGCCAGCACGGAGCCAGTGAGGTGCAGCGAGCCACTGCTTTGCTCTTGCCGTACAAACCCAAACAGTGCCCCAGTGTTGCATTTTCCTCCTTGTGATTGCTGCCTTTACTCTTCCTTGGCTCCCCTGCTATCAGCTCAGGCTCTCTGGATACGTCTCCTGCCTGTCTCGCAGAAGAGCTCATGGAAAGCACACTGAACCCAACAGGTATATAGACCAGCTTGCACCCCAAGTGCCCCCCACCTTACCCCACGTCTCACCTTGATAGCATTCAGACTGCACTACCTTCTTTCCCTGCTGGCCTTGTAGTTAAGTGAGACTTATGGCTGTACCTTAACAATAGTTTATGACTACTAAAAACAGACGGTACCTTCCCTTTGGGGTGAGACCCAGACACCTACCAGGTGTGCCCTCTCCACTCGGCTATCACGTGGAGAAACAGACTGGACTCAGCCCCGTGTGGCAACTGCTCAGCCCAGATGAGGGGCCAGGCAGGCCAGAGATTGTCCCACAAGGTGGGTATAACATGATCTGTGGTCCTCCTGTGTTTCTCAGGACCCGAGCTGTTGAAGTGTGTGATTTGGCTAAGCTGGCATACCAGGACAGTCTTGATCCTGATGCTTTCTCTTGTGTCAGTACTGGCACTTGTCTGATTCTGCACTAAGCCACAATGACAAAAAGCCAATTCTGAAAAAAAACACCACTGGAGCAGCTTTACTGGCTTAGCCCTCTAAATACCGGAGTCTTCCAAATACCTGCACTGACCCATGGGAGAGGACAGGAATGTGTGGCTAATGGTTAGGG